GTTTGTTTTGGAATTTTTTCTCTGTTTGAGAAGATTCTCAAAGTAGAAATGCCCAAAATTTAAATAGAACAAGTCTTTAGTCAGTATCTGGTTGCATCTCAGTAGTTAATATAATAGCAGTACAGTCTGCGTTACAGTCATATACAGAATGTTTGCATTGGAAAGCTTCTTAATAGGTACATTCAGTGCTTTTGGCAAGTGAGGAAGTTTAGGTGGAATTTGAGTAATCAGAAATGATTCTATAATATCAAATGAAAAAAATGTGGGAGAATCTTGAGTCCCAAATGAAATTGCTGGAGTTGAGGGGGTTTCATTGCCATTCTATGGTTCAGTCTACACGAGACACTTAATGTGCAGTAAACTAATTCTAATGCACATTAGCACAGATGACAAAAAACCTACAAATACGTTAATGCACAGTAGTATTAGTCTACTCATTAAGCGTCACACAAAAAGCGTGCTATCATGCTAATGAACAGTACAGCAGCCTACTGTGCATTTATTTAGTACTTGATGATACAAGTACTAAATTTATTGCACAGTAGGCACTGTGCATTAATGAATATGTAGATGCACCCAGTAAGTTTTAATTATAGGAGCTGCTTTAAAGTAAAATAATGAAAGCTGCTTGCTGTAATAAGCAAGGGAATATAGAAAGAGGACAAAAAGTATTCAGTTTTCAGACTAATAAATAAGGCTGTGCTGAGTCACAGAAGAAAAACAATACTGAACTGTTATGGTTACACTCATAGATTACAGTAGTAATAAAATCCCTATATCGACTGTAGTTTTTGTTATACTGTAAAAGGAACTGTCAGAATTTTAACTGAAAATCTTACATACCTTACCCTATCAGTCAGCGTACAGATTCAAAATATCTTTGTCATTTAAGTGTAACCATTTCAGATGTTTCTCTTCTTTTGTTGATCATTAAATATTTTCTGTTTTCTTAGAATCTCATGACTATATCACTGAAAGGGATTTCAAGGGCTCATTCACTCCAAGCCCTTGCACTGAAAGAGGATCAAGTAGATCTAGACCAGGCCTGTCCAATTTCTACATTGCTAGGAGTCGCATTACCTACATGCTGGGCTGCGTGCCATGCCAGCTTCACTGGCATGAACCATGACCCCCACTCTGACCACATGTGCACAGATGCCCCCCTGCTTTACCACGCCTCATGGGCACTCTGGGACAGGGGCAGGAAGTGGAAGACAGTGGGGGGAGGGGGAGCCCAAAGACTCTGGCTGCCAGTGAAGCTGGAGAAATGAAAGGGAGCCCACAGACTACAAATTAATGCCTCATAAGCCACACTCAGTCCATGGGCTGTCACCTGGACAGTCCTAATGTAGACTAACTAACCTTTCGGGGGTTTCACCATCCTAACATTTAGGAAAGTTTGTTTTTCTCATATCCAACCTATAACTTCTTTATTGAAAATTATGTAGATTTCTTCTTGTTCTTCCTTGGCATCCTTCAGAGAACAACTGATTGCCATCTTCTTTGTAACAATCTTATGTATTCAAAGATTGTTATGAACCTCTCAGTCTTCTGATTTTCAGATATTAGATTTAAAAAAAATCAACCACTATGTACACTCAACAAGTTCACTGAAAGCATGTTCAGAAGATGTTTCCTGCACAGAACAGATAGTGAAAAACAGATTTGTCATACATGGCATTTACTTCAAAAACAAACTTTAAAAATTGCTTCAATGCTGTGGTTATTTAGGCCATATAGCAATTAGATTTTACCTATTAACCACACAACATTTCCTAAAAATATTTGAATACCATTGTCACTTCTTTACATTTGTGTCAGTCTCACAACTAAATTCTAAAGGTAAGGATTCTGAAACAAACACCCCAACATTTTTTGGCTCATAAAATTCCAAACCCACGTTTGAAAATCAGTGAAGAGCAAGTGTATGTTTGTAATCAGCCAAACTAGGCTCCAGTTCTTAATCCTGTAAATACTTCAGATTGCACAAAATTTGACTCATATAAAACATCTCAGTAACTTTGGCAGGATCATTCTTGAATAAAATGTTATGGATTTATTGAAATGCTTGTAGGATTGAGAGCTTTAGGATATTCAGAAATGAAGCTTGATTTTTATGAGCTACAGTGTCCTAAACATGAAACTTTAAGTATATTCTAAAACTTTGACAGATGATCAATTTGAAAGGATTTTAATATTGCCAAAGTGTACTTATAAAAAGTTTTATTTCACTCTGCCAGGAAAAAAACAAAGAACATTAAACTTAGGTTTCCTTGAGCAAATACATGATTGTAAAAGTCAAATAATTAAAGACTATGGATGCAAAATATTCTGTCTGTCTGAAATACACTAGGGTATGGCATTTCTAACAGGGATGTGGCATTTTTGTTTTTAAGTGAAAATGTTTTAGTTAAAACATTTCTGAGAATGTATTTGTTTAACAACAGGGGCATCTAGTGGTAATAACTGATATAAATAAAACAAAGAAACACTATGGTTATGACATTAAGACACCATCTACACATTACATTTATACCACCATGAATGTGTTACTTGTGACATAAATGGCAAGGGTGCTACACATGCACCCAATTTAAGGCACCATAAAATGCCAAACCAACCATAAAAATATTCTACATAAAACGTAGAACATTTTGCTGAATACAAAATGTAGAATGTTAAATGTAGAAAATTTTTATGGCTGGTTTGTATAACACCTTAAATTGATTGAAGGTATGACAGGGCTGGGTCTGAAAATCAGCTGATTGTTAGCCCTAGCACTACACTGGAGTCTCTTTAAAATCCCAGTGCTGTCTTAGGGTCAGAGCCAACATCAGTTGATTGTCAGTCCCAGCCCTAGCCTCAAGACTGCATCAGGGCCAGTTCAAGGCCCCTGTGCAG